AAAAAAAAAAAAAAAAAAAAAAAATAAGTTTTTTATTAAAATAATATGCAAATAAAGATAAATAAAAAAAGAAAATAAAAAAAAAAAAAAAAATAAAAATTAATTTGTTGGAGTAATAAATAGACAAACATAGATGAAAAAAGAAAAAGAAGAAAATAAATAAATAAATAAATAAATAAAAAATAAAAAAAAAAAGAGAAAGGGGGATGCAAATAAATAAATAATAAATAATATAAAAAGAAAAAGAAAAAAGAAAAAAACAAAAAAAAACAAAAAACAAGTAAAAAATAAAAATGGATAAAAAAGAAAAAGAAGAAATAAAAAACAGAGAAAACAAAACAACAAAATACACAAAGCAGCTGAGGTGTATATACACCCCAAACAATACACAAAAACAAAATAATAATAAACAAAAAATACAAAATAAAACAAACAAACTATACACGCTAAACCATCAGCAGAAACAGCAGCAGCAGCAGCAGCAGCGCCAGCAGCAGCAGCAGCAGCAGCAACAGCAGCATGAGGAGCAGCAGCAGCAGCAGCAGCAGCACTAGCATCAGCAGCATCAGCCCTATCACCAGCAGCAGCAGCATCCGCAGCAGCAGCAGCATCACCATCAGCATCAGCAGCAGCAGCAGCTGCTGCAGCAGCATCAGCAGCATCAGCATCAGCATCAGCAGCAGCAACAGCAGCAGCATCACCATCACCATCACCAGCAGCAGCAGCAGCACCAGCAGCAGCAGCAGCAGCAGCAGCAGCAGCATGATAATCATTATTATATTTGTATTTACTTCTACTCTTAATACAAATCTAACAACAACAGTGGGGGGCCCCCTTGAGCATGGGGGGGCCCCCCTTCGCCAGGGGCCCCCCCGGGGGCCCCCCTCCGCTTCATTCTTCTCTTCCTGCTGCTGCTGTTGTTGCTGCTGCTGATGCTTTTGCTGCTGCTGCTGCTGCTGCTGCTGCTGCACAGCAGCAGCAGCAGACGGGGGCCCCTGATATACATGGGGGGCCCCCAAGGGGGGAGAGGGGCCCCCCGCTATAATGCGGAGGCCCCTCAGGCGAGGCAGCAGCTGCAGCACAGCAGCAAAAGACAAACCCACGCCGCCGCTGCTGCTGCTGCTGCTGCTGCTGCTGCTGCTGCTGCTGGTGCTGGTGCTGCTGCTGCTGGTGCTGCTGCTGCGGCTGCTGTTGCTGGTGGAATAAGAAGAAGAAGAGAAAGAAGAAGCCGGGCTCTCCGATAAAGATGAACAT